TTTACACTCTCACAACTCGGACAAGTCAGGCGAGGATGTATCCATATATTTAAATATTCAATAGTAAACGTGTTGTATTCTGTGCTATATTGAATGCTATCCTGCAAGCCTTGCAACTTTGACCAACGGTCCGACGGTCACAGCCCGGATCACTCACGACCTTTAGGAATTGTTCTTCTTGTCATGAAGCGAACTATTTTTTCTATTCCGGGTTGGGGCCCTCCAAAGCGGCGATGTTCGTACACAAAGAGCTGAAAACCCAAACTGATCGCAGCTTTGCAGTATGTCATCAACTTCCGCGTCCTCCGGCTTCATGTGCAGAACCTCCGAGAGAGTTCTGGCCCATTGAAAGCATTCCCAAAAACTTCCTGTAACAACTATCGAAACCGGTGAATGAAGGGCTTGGGCCATTGCAACCCTGGTCTAAGCTTGTAGCGTAGATCCTCGCCGCGGGTTTGGGGGTTTAGAGGGGTTTAGGCACGTAAGGGCCCTAGCATGGGCAGAAGGCACTATGGCAACGGTACCCTGAACTCGAAAGCCCACTCAATCCTCAACAACAACGATGACTCCTTCGTCTGTAAGCCTGTAAGCACGGCGTGCCAGGTTTGGTCTTGCAAAGGCTTCCGGTGCTTCGGGGACTTGAGAGGCTTCCCGAGGTGTGCAGTCAAGTGCACTGCCCGACCTCATCAGGAGGCTTTTCTCCTTCTGGGGCCTCAGGTGGCGGCTTAGGAAGTGGCAAAAAAAAAAGACATGAGGACTAGTGGTGCTAGCAAAGAGTAGGCAGTACCAGCTACTTGCTGCTTATGCAGTAAGGCCCACTGAGCCCTCGACCCACAAGGACGCGGCCTCCGATCCCATGCTCCAGTAGCACCTCGAAAAGCGGGAGGGAAGCTTCGAAAACAAGCTTGACTGCACAAGTGCATTATCACATATACAGACTCATAAACGAATGATGTTAAGTTGTGTAACGGTGTAACCTATAACTCGGACAACGCGATGCTGGGTAAGGTAGATAAGGCGCGTGTGCACAGATGTGTATACACACCCATGTGTATAGTGTATAGGTCCCAGTCCTTTTGCGATACCCCATGTGGGGGATCAGCCACGAAAGATCTTTTTGTTTTTTCATTTTACCGTTCGCATTGGAACTCTGCGAGTGACAGAACTCACTCTGGCATCGAAATGCCTACAGGAGCCCCCAAACCCCACATGTTTTCCCCCTAACTCACCGAGCTCCTCACTCCCAAGCCTCCCCCCACCCACTAAGAGACTCCCTGGATCTCCGGAGCGCTCGACGAAAGCAGCTCTTGCCCAATGGCTGTACAAAAGCGCTTCCTAGGAATCAAAACTTTCAAGACGTGCCTTCAAGAATAGAACACATGTTAGTTAGAGCCTGTAGAGTTCTTGCATATGATAAAACTCTAATGACTCTAGTGAACCGTGAGACCCCCCTTGAAATTCTGATTATTCGAACCCCAGCACTAGGGTTCAGGATTCAGGATTCCAGGTCTGTGCGCTTAAGCAGAAAGAGCTGCCAAACTCCGGTGAAAAGCGCAACGGCCGGGTGGCTTTCGTTTCTGGTTCGACGCCTCAGATCCTGTCTTACGCATCTTGAACCTTATCTTGTACTCTGGCAACCAACTACATCCTGTCGCGCATCTCTCACGCCGACCGTTGCTCATGTGGCACTGCCGCTCCGTAGCATCGTCCGAAGGGCAAATTAAGTGCAAAGCGTGTCAAATCATAAGAGAGATAAACACATACATGTATGTGGATGTATGGATGTATGTATGTATGTATGTATGTATGTATATATATATATATCAGAGAACATATAATGCACACTATTAACAGCATATATATATATATATATATAACACATAATGCATAAGATTACAGCACATAATATCCACAATATGACACGGCAGATGTCTAAAAAGCTTCGCCTCAACCTCCGGTGCAGATCTCGCCAGGATCCAGGATTCTCGGAAAGCGCCGACTGCCGGCACGCCGCCGGCTGCGGGGTAGATTTTGGGTGGAGGTCCCTGGAAGCGAGGTCTACTGCACTCCGGCGTCCCGGGTGAAACCATTCCTGACAGACTGCCTCTGGGACACATCCTCTACTCACTCGTTGCAAGGGACTTCAGCGGCGCATGCGACGCGATGGGAGTCCCCGAGTTGTGGTCGCCGGCTCCGCCGCCCATGTTATAGGTGGGGTCGGTCTTGAGGTTCCCGGGCCACAGACATTCGAAGTGGGACTGTTTGTTGCAGCATGTGGCAGCACCAACACGATAAATATGGCTTCCGCTGGTGACCGCGGAGCACTTCTTGTAGCAGACGTTCATGAACAACTCTTCGTCGGTGAGGCAAGCGCCCAGGGATGTGGGGCAGTTGGAACCCTGCTGCTTTGCTTCCGCTCGGCCCGAGACGGCGTAGCCGAAGCAAAATCCTGGGTGCACCCAACAGCTCTCCATGGCAGCCTTTTCCCAGCAATCTGGGCCGGCTTCAACTGCGCAGCAGCTCCAAGCAGAGCTTCGGCAGGGATGGGAGCCTCCTGTCAATGTGGCACACTTGGCGTAGCAAAGTCCACCAACATACTCCTCATCGTTGGAGCAGGGGTCTTTGTCATGTTCAGAGACCTGCGGTGCGAGAGCGGACTCCGAAGGAGCGTCCGTGGGCTTCTGGGTAAGGGGTGGTGGGACGGTGCCACCGGTGGCCGCAGCTGCAAGGGCAGGGATGCTGGCCGGGGCAGCAGCCACTGCCTGCTGGATCTCGCCAAGGCTGAGGCCATTGCTGTCGACATCCTTCGCTGCGACCGCAGCATTGTCCCCAACAAGGCCGAGTTTCTCCATCATCTTTTCAGCCTTTGCGGCCTCTTTCACCTGGTTCTGCGCATCCTCTACTGACGAAGCGGCCTGCTGCGCACCGGCCTGGAAAGTGTTGAACGCCTTCGTCTGCGCGTCCTTTACTGACGAAGCGGCCTGCTGCGCACCGGCCTGGAAAGTGTTGAACGCCTTCGTCTGCGCGTCCTTTACTGAGGAAGCGGCCTGCTGCGCACCGGCCTGGAAAGTGGTGAACGCCTTCTCACCGCCCTCCTTCACAGAATCATGGACCTTGCTCGCTGCCTCGTTGGCCACAGAGACCATGGAATCCGCTCCCTTGTAAGCCTCTGCAGCCATCTTCTTGCCCTGCTCATACTGCCTCATGGCACTCGGGGACAGCACGTCGGACCACACATCGGTTCCAGAGAGCTCGGAAAACTCTACGACCCGTTCGCTTGACTTGTGCAAGCCTGGCCGATGGTTGGAGACCAAGATCACGCCGGCCACCACAAGGAGGACTAGCAACCCCAAAGACACCACAGCCACCATGGGTCGGGATCTCTTCTCTCTCTGCTCCTCCCTTAACATGGTCTGCGTCTCTGACTCCATGTCATAGATCTCTTTAAGCTGCCCGGCCATTGCTTCGAAGCTCGGAGCACTCCCGAATCTTGCACGTGGCGTCTCCTTGTACGCTTTGAAGCACGGCCTCAAGCTTGAGCCTGAAGTCACCTGGGCAGCTCCAAAAGCCGGAGACCCCTGTGGGAGGGCTTCACTTGCAAGGCACGGCTCGGCAGCTACAACTACCCCGAAGGCGAAAAACGGTTCAAAGTGCTTCAAACGGCCCGAAACCTATGAGGCCTTGATAACGAATCAAGAACGACAACGCCAATGGTGCTGATCGTGTTGAAAACGGAAGGAAAGGAGACGGCGAAAACGACTAGCGAATACCGGGGCACTGTAGCTTCCGGATAATCCTTTGCTATGCTCATCACATGCTCATCACACCCGGAAGTGCTTCCAGACTCCTTCAATACCCAAAGCCCGCAACCCCGAATCCTAGTACGATACCTCACAAACCCTGCGCGAACCCATCCCTTGCAGAACCTCTTCATATCCCAAAACCCACTTCGAAGCCCTTAACCCTTAACCCCGAAGAGCTCACGACCGAAGGAGATCTCTAAGCTTTCGACTCACGGTCCTTGGACCTCTGGTGGCCCACCTCACAACACTACGTATTGTTTAGGGTTTCGGCGCTCACACTCGGACAATCCAGGCGAGGCATGTGGTTCGAGGTCCGCTGAGTAGCGAGACCAAATGAGCTCGGGATCTGAGATTTCGGGGCCGTTTGGTTAGCCGTTGATCGGCAAGTGGCTGCTTCAGGGACCTCCCTCGTCAAGAAGCACATGCTCCCGATGTGATATTATATACAGTATCTTACCTTAGCCATGTTTTTTTGATAGGGTAGTGCATTATATTATACATAAAATATAGAGTATCAAAACCCTATTACATGATACGAGGCTATCTTATATATTGCTATACATAATCAGTGTCTCAGGCTCCGCGCATAGTACCGAAGGTGGAGGTTGGAGCCTGGCCGGGGGCCGCCGGGACGAGATCCAGGAACCCTCCTCTTGAACACGACTTAATGCCGAAACTTAGGGTTTAGGGTTTAGGGTTTAGGGTTTAGGGTTTAGGGTTTAGGGTTTAGGGTTTAGGGTTTAGGGAAACTGCGGGCGAGGGACCTGAAAGCAAATGGGAGTTTCCGAAAGTTAGGGGTACCTTATTTTGGGGTCTTTATAATAAGGATCCTACTATTTAGGGTCCCATACTAGGGTCCCCTGTTTTCTGAAACTCCCAAGTACAAAAACATCGACCCCCGAACATCACCCGAAACCCGAACCACTCAAACTCTGAAGCCAGCCTAAACATCATAACATATCATAACCCACCCCAAACATCCCCTAAACCCTTCTGTAGACCGAAAGGATCGGCCTGGTGGAACCCGGCAGCTGACGCAGCACCAGGTGTTGGGAGGAGGGATGGGACCTCGACAGCGGCCATCTGGGGTTTCCGAAAAAAAGGGACACTAATATGGCACCCTAAATAACAAGATCCTTATCATAAGGACCCCAAAACAAGGTACCCCTTATTTTCGGAACTCCCATCTGGCGATGTAAGCATGTAGGATATTACGAAAAAAGGTATTCTACGAGATGGGTAGTTCTCTAAATTAGGGTCCCTTTTAGGGTCCTTTTTATAAGAGTGCCGTACTAGATTGGGGACCTAAAAAGGGACCCAAATTTGGAGAACTACCTAAATATATATATATATATATATACACGTAATAAGGTGTTTTTATGGGGGAGAGATCCCTTCCTTGAACCTCTTTCTACGCTGCCAAAACCAACGTCCCGCGAGTGTAATGTGAGCCTCTCGAACGAGAAACCAAACTTGGGCAAACAGAAGGGCCGGATTTTTTGGGAAAGGTGATAGAAAAGCTAGTCCAAAAAACAAGTTTCGAGAATTAGGGCAAGGCGGGCTGAGTCAGGTGCACTGGAGAGGCAGCAATCCCGCTCAAAGGATGAAACCCTGAACCGTGGAAGATGCTGCCGAAGGGACAAGGGTCTCCCGGCCTCTCCTTGTCCTCAGCTTTCACAAGATGAGCGAAGTCTATGATCTAGCGGGGGGCTCTGGAAACCCATACCCAGGAATCACGTGTTGACAGGATTCTCCGGCTGTCGACCGGGTGTGTACTTGCAGTGCTGGTGCAGCAAAACAAACCAAGCTACTCTCCGCCAGGGCACAATGAGGAAGTTGATGACGGCCTTCTTCTTCCGCTTTTGGCAGGCGGTCCAGTAGCCAGCCTGCCCCAAAAAAGCAGGTGCAGAGAGCCGAGGCAGGGCCGAAGCTGCAGGGACGAGTGCCTGTTCATGGGGAATGCACATCTCCGCGCGACTGAGGGATGGGCCTGGGGCCTACAGTAGGTAACTATCCACTCATGCGTGGTGATACTGTTGCTAGTCAATATTTGCACATCCGCAGCTCCCTAATTCGGGTCTCAGATATAGCTTTGGCATGCTTAGGATTTGGTCTAGGTAGGCTAGCTTGGTTTCTGGAAACAGCTCAAGGTGTGTCAGGGTTTATGGCTTCAGTTGCCAGAGCCCGTGCACTTCCCTGGTGCCCTACACCCGGTCAGCATACAATCCCAAACAAAAAGCCGAAGCACGGCAGCAGTCCTTGCCTTTGCGTGCCCCTTACTCTGGAGAAATGCAAACCTCATCCCATTATCCTGATGCTTGTTCCCTGTTCTTGAAACTGAAAGTCCTAAATCAGCTCCCCAGATAAGCGAGACAGCGCCGCAGGCCAAAATCTCAGGAAGCCGGTGACCTGACACCCCCTTACACAGCCTGACACCAAGCAATATTTCTGCCCTAGGACTAGGGGTGCGGTTCTTCTCATGTTCATATCCATGGGTCGAATCACTCCTTGCCGAGTCAGAAGCTGTGATTCAAAGGTCGGGGCTTTGAGCCCTGGGCTTGCCTATGCCGTGCTATTGCCTTGTGGTCCGCACCAACGCCTGCAGATGCTAATGAATCTCCATATCATCATAGGTCAGCATCACCATCAGCACCATCATCATCACCACCATCATCGTCGTCGTTGTCGTCGGGAGCATCTGCATCGTCTGCATCGTCATAAGTGCCTTCTTCCTTCAATGGAAACAAAAGGAAGAAACACAATCCTCTGGGTCTCTGAGCCCTTGCAACCACTACGCTCCCAAAGTCCAGCACGGAAACACAAATCGCACCCTCACAGAATCCTGAAAGCTCTGAGAGGTGGACGCCAGCTGCTCGAAATGGCGGCGAGGTGATGAAGGTGCCGGCATCTAGGCCAACAGTGTGATGAAAGCGCGGGGAATCTGAGCCGTGATCACTCGGTTTCAAAGCCGATCACCCAACATGCCCAGGCTTTGGCTTGCCCCTTTTCTCAGAAAACCCAACTCTCAACCCTCAAACCTGCACCTTTTGAATGTCTGTCAACCAGTCGACTCTCTTCTTGGCTTGACATCTCCAGGGTCATCCAACCCCACAGATCTGTCGAAAGCATCCCCCTTCGCTGAGAGCGAGAGAGAGGCCAAAAGCTGTTTGGAAATGCCAAGACTTATCGCAACAGCTTAGCACTACGTCGCCGAGGACATCATGAACCTGGGAGTGCTGCCGATGTGTCGGCCGTGATGCATCACCTCAGGTCCACATGACAGGGCGATGGTAACGGCTGCGACCGAGGAAAAAGCTGGGTTGCTTTGATTCTGTAGTTGAGGCCCTTGCAAAGTCTGGTATTAATCGCCGGCCAGGGCTTTTTCCAACTGCCTGGGGATCTGTATAAACGTCCTGAATTGTTATTTCGCGGGTTGCGATGGCCTTGGACCTCGGACAGGGAATGCGCAAGGCTCCGGCAGGAACGCCCCTGCTGAAGCCGCTGTATTGCAGGCCTGCCACGAGCCACAGAACGCCACAACCTGCTTATCTGCCTACCTAGATGCCTGCCTGCCCCATCCTGCCCCTGCTTGCCTGCCCCTGCCTGCCTGTAAAATTACAATCGACTAAATTGCAGTACAGCGCAGTACCTTACATACAAACATATTCTCTCGTCGGCGCAAAGCCACGACTATAGATCGCACACGCAGTACTGTACCACCAAAGTCGTTCTCTGCCTGATTCCATCAACGGGCACTCATGGCACTGGGTATGGGTCTGATTCTCTGGCATGCACAACTCTGCATTTCTGGCAATCACAAGAAGAAGAACAAGAGGCACGATCACATGGCTGCAGCTGCCCTCCGCCCCGTGTGCCTGTTATACGCCATTCCACCACATGCATGGTCCTTGGATTCGAGTGGAGGTGCCGGTAGCGAAACGATCTGCTTCCAAAGAGACGGTGCGTGAGACTGCAGGAAGTTCGCGAGGAGGGGCTTGAGGGCAAACAGGTTTTCGGAGGTACAATCTTTGCAGGCGAATCGTCGAGGGGCCGTCCATAACAACACGCGATTCTGGCGATGCATGTCATATCTTCTGGGCACTGCGCCATTCCCCAGCATCCTTTAGAGAGGTTGCCGTGTGTGTTGTTTCAGCACATGCCAGCTCTTCGGCCCACATTCCTGCGGTTTGCACTTTTACTTTCGCATCCGAAAGAGCATGCAGGGCGCCATAAGTTGTAGTCTTTCTTTGACGATACAAGCATTTATGAAAACGCTTAAACGCGGCATGTGGTCTATGAGGAAAGGGCCCCAACAGCTAAGATGGATACACTTAGCCGCATTGTGCTGGAGCAAAACAGCGAGAACAAGACGCGGTAAAGGCACAAGGGCTTCACGGCGACGGCGAACCTGGATTCGCACGATGCGACGCCCCGCATCTTTCCCCAAAACCATCCCCGCGCAAAACAGCCCACAACTGACAACATCCTTCCCTCGACGTGGCAATGACACACGCCCGCAATAGTCGCATAAGCCCTCTTGCAGACTCTTGCGCAGACCTTGACTACAATACCGTTCAACTCCAAACCCTCAAAGTCCAGAGACTTAGCTCCCGGCTCCCAGGGCAGCAGCGGTGGGGAAAAGGAGCACTCGCATCCGTGAACGGGGTCTTGGTTGTCCTCCGGAGAGTGTTTATGTCCATAAATGTAGCAAGAGACCTCGCGCAGTTTCCACTCCATGACAAGTACAGATCGAGTTCAACACCCCTGCATTACAAGGTCGGCTCGGGGTTTGTCTGAAAGATCCCCGTGTCCTTCACCGTCAAAGCTCCCGAGAAGTCAACACCAAAGACCTCAGGCATCACAACAGGGGCATGCCATCTTAGAGCACGAGCTGCTGGAAGAAGAGCAGGACAAGTGTATGAGTCGAGCACGATATGTGAGCCAACCGCAACTGTGGCAATGACGACCATACTAGAAAATGCTTCAGCAGCAAGGATGGCAGCGATGGTTGCAATGGAGATGACGGTAAAGTACGGCAATTCATGCTCGAAAATCAAAGGCCCAAAGGCAAGGACAAATCTTTTCCAGGAATGCGTGGTGAGCCCTTCATCACATGTCGCACGGAGTGGCCAAGACTTGAAGCCAGCCAACTCGCTGCTTGGGCAAGATGCTACATATCCGCAGTATATTGATATCGGCCGGGCTCCATCATCAGTTTCGAATATCTGCCCGGAAGTGCCAACAAGAGCGAATATCCATGCTTCATGCACCAGAGTCTGGAAGCACCTTTTTTGCATCAGGCTTGCATGTCGCGCCTGGCTATGTTGAAGGCCCTGGGAGAGCGCAACTGCGGCGACCTCTCACAGCCCTCTCAAAAGAGAGCGGCATCTTAGACGCCCACTCGTTTAGTCTGGAAGCACCTTTTTTTTACACAGGCTTGATTGGAGCTCGCCCGAGATGCTCAAGGCTAAGTACGCACAATCCTCAAGATTTTACGAGCTAATCTGTCGGACATGCTGTTGAAAGAGCTGACGAACTGATGATCCTGATAGATATATTCATGAAGCCGATGTAGAGTATTTCCTCTGGAAGCACGTTAAACAGTCAGCTTCTTGGCACCCACCAAGCGCGCCATTTTCTCAGAGTGTTTGACGCTGGCCATCTTCTATATCAAAACGGAACCAATTTTCACAGCGCCTGCTGGGGCAGCCAAATCTGTACTTTTGGACAGCATCCACTTCGCCACATCAACTGCTTCGTACTCGTAGCCCTTCTTCTCCAGCCAGGCAACCTCTGCTTTCTGAGAATTGCCTAGACCTTCGGATGCTTCCAGAAAGTTCCGCTCATTATGCGGAAGCCATGCCAGGAACAGACGATGCAGCTCTCGGCTGTATTGCGAAGAGCCGTCTTCTCTCAAGCTCGTGCTCAGCCGAAAAAGGCCAGCAGCAACAGAATCTCTGAAGACTCTCGATTCCAGGAACTTCTCCTTCTTGCGGAGGATGCGCAAGCGCTCCATGTGTTCACGGCCAGCCGTCGCGAAGCTCTCGACCTTGCCTTTGTGAAGGGAGCCTTCGAAGAAGAAGACTTGCAGCCTGCTGCCCTCTTGCACGGCAACTTCGATGTTGGCAATCCAACAGGTCCACCAATGACATCCCCACTCCTTGGGCTCCCCATACAGAGGCGTGCACCAACAAGCGCCTTCAAGGTTCTCACTTGCAGGGATCGCATCGTGCTTGCCGAACCTCTCGGAATCCTTTGGCAAAAACACGACAGCGGCGCTTGTTTCGCCATCGCGGCTGCTCTGTACCAAAGCCTCCCAGGCGCCTTCGTATTTGCCTGGCCAAGAGCATACACATGGCAAGCCCTTCCCGGCGAGAACGCTGCCTTCGAATGTGAGCAACTTTGCCCTTTGCTGTCTATGCATTTCGCCTCTCCTGAAAGCACTCAAATGTTCGTCTCCCAGGCTTTTAAGTTCAGCAGATGCTGGCCCATCTCGATGACTGCAAAAAACTTCGAACACCATCAAGATAAAGACACTGGCCGATAGCACAGCATAGAGTGGAATGTAAATGAACATGGTCCAGAATGAAACACCGTGGTGTTTCATGGCAAATCTAGGAGTTACTAGTACCAATGTCGGCACAACCAAGCGGATGAACCACGGCAAGGTTCCGTCCTCCTCCAAGAACAAGCACACCCAGCGCCAGCGACAAAACTCCGCACCTAGCAACAGTCCCAGAACAGCAAAACTCAACCCCACGGCACCCCCAGCATCTTGAGGAGTTGTCCAGGCACACATCCAGGCGAGAGTCAACATCGTCCATAAAAGGCAGCACAGCATAACCCTCTGGCATGCTCCCCTTTGGCACAGCATAAACATTTCCCTTCGGCAGACCCCTGTGACGTTTTTCCAACAGTCGCAGAGTCTTTTGAACCATCCGCCGGCGTCTTCGCGCAAATCATGGTTGAAATCATCCGAACAGTCTGAGGCTGCATCAAGCGCGATCTCCATACAGCTCATCTGGCGTCTGGTCCTGTTCCGATCTCTTTCATGCTGCACCGCATGTCTGTCCTTTTCAATCCAGGCTTCTGCTGCGTTGTTGAACTGGGATAGATCTCGTGAAACACGGAGCGCAACCCCTGGCACCACCGAACAGGTGCCAGCAACCTCATGGGCCTCACGAAGCCGCACCTGCACTTCTGAGGGTTTCGCCAATGCTGGCGTTGACGCACGACCAGGGTAAACTACCTGCCACGCTTGGTTGCCCCACTGGACTTCGATAGGGGCACGTAGATCATTTGTAAGGCTGCTTGAGCGAAGACCAAAGGATCCCCCCAGCCGCTGCAGAAAAACTGACGCGGCCATGGTTAATCAGCCCGTGATGTAGTCCAACCTAATATAGTATAATATAATATAATGTAGTCTAATATAGTGTAGTATAGTATAGTATTGGCGTCATGGACCCGCAACCTTGAGCCCACAATTGAGGCGTATAGATGTTGCGCTCCTGGTACAGCAGTAGTAATGGGCATGTCGGCCGATGGGCACAGAGCTCAGGGGACCTCTCGGAGGCAGGCGTTCATGCGAGTCTGCCGCTTCATGAGGTGCGTCATCCGCTCGTCCTTCGGGACGAAGACGGGGAGGTTATCGTGAAGCCTTATATGGTCCCCTACAAGATGATCGGATAACTATTTAATAGCTTGGGACAGCGCCAGGCCGGCCTCACGGTCTTGTAGCCAGGTGCAGACAAGAAGCCATGCACCCTTAACTCTGACAACCTCTCCGGACCCAACAACCAACAAGTCCAACCTGTGAGAATTTGAGCTGCCTGACTTCCAAACGCACAGCGCATTCATGTAACCGAAGCAGTAGTCCAACAGCAGGCATCCAATCCGCTGCGACAATTTCCAAACCGAGATGGAAGCTTCATGGTTTGGGCATTCAAGAAAATTAAAGGGTGGACATTCGACAATGTGTGGGCGCACGAGGATCTGGATCTGCGGGCACTGCCAAACCGCAGTCTTCAGCTTGCCTCCAAGCAGAAGGTCACGAACTCAGACCAGTCCAGCCAACAGTCTCCGTTCCTGGCAGCTAGGGCTTCGGGCGGTTATAGCCATACGGGGTTGGTAAGTTCTTTGAAGGGGGGCTGGAATGGGTGTTTGGCTTCAGGGAGTCATGGCCGCTCAAACAACGGCTGTTTGCTCAATCGCCTGTTGTACCTTACGGGGCCTAGAGCGAATGAGAGAGACCTTAAGCCGCATATCCCACAATATAAAGCATCAAACAGGAAAGCCGGGCACGTCCATCCGGGAAAAGCAGCTCGCCTCGAACTCTATCCATTACAGGGTTTCGGCACACTTCTCGATTTGTGCATAAAAGGGCAGGCGCAGGGTCTAGGATTCAAACATTCGATTCTCACAGCTAGGAAAAACGGGGAGGCAAATGCGCCGGGGTTCGGCGCTCACACTCGGACACTCCAGGCGAGGCATGTGGTTCAAGGTCTGATTGAAGTCAAACACAAAGCAAGATCAAGCACCATTCACACCCCCCCCCCTAAACTATACAACCTGCTGAAGATAGGATGTGCCAGCTCAGCCTCAAAATCCTTCCCTTGCATACATACCTATAGTTGAAGGGTTTCAAGCACTACGACAATGAAGATCCTCCATATGGGGCCATCAGGATAGGGCTAAGGCCAACTAAGGTGGTCATCTTCGACCCCGGACAGGGGTGAGCAAGCAGAAAGAGGATCTCGAAATGATCACGAGCGGGGGTTCAGGGTTTTGACTCTTAGACTTGCAGAAAACAGGCAAGGATTCCACACGACTGTCCCCAACACGAAGTTACGGCAGCCAGGCCCACGTTCAGGATTTACGCCATCGTACTCGGACGCGTCAGACCGGGTTTGCGATTCGCAGTCGGTTGGAAACTGACGGTGACGGCTGCAGGCGAACAGGCTCGAAACATGAAGTATCCGAAACCGACAATTAAACGATAACCTTAACATCGAACCTGTACTACAGGATACCCAATTCGACACACAACCTTAACATCAAAACTTTGTTGATGGCTGCATGAGGGTCGACCTACAAAATTCCATACCCCTAAACCCAAACGATAACGTCCAACTTAAGAGCACGGGAAGACTCCAACAGGTCGTCTGCACTTTCGGGAGAAGGTGAGACTAGGAACCTTCGTGGCACCTATGCTTAAGCTGCAGCTCAAACAGTCCAGAGGCAGAGGCCGACTTCAGCGTGTTTCGACGACCGAAAAGACTAACCCGGTCCATACAGCATGTCCAGTCTGTCACAGGCAATGCAGCATAGCTCCTGTGGATGCTGTAGCTGTAGTCCGGGCGAGGGCAAAAGTCGGAGGCGCGGCAAGCAAAACTAAACAAATCAGCTTCGATGTTCTCTGCGTCAGATGTGAACCCCTGTAAACATCCTGTCAAGCAAACGTTCTTCCGGAATGCCAGCTGCCTGTGCGCTAAACCCCCACATCCCTTTGAACTCGTCATGCCATGACACCTTCTTTCGAACACATGGCAGACGAGAGCCGCGCATGCTTCGTATTTCCCACATATGCTTGCTGCAGGTATTCAGGCAAGCACTGCCGGTTTCGCGGTGTGGTCAGTCTCATTGTTCACTCGGTTACCATCGATGTGTTGCTGCATTGCCTAATCAGACGCGGCTTACTTCAGGGGATCCTAGACGCCCCGAGCACGTAGTGATCAAGATGATCCTCTCTGTTTCGTTCTTGCAAGCTCTGCCTGACTTGTCCAGCGCCGCGCGATGCGAGTTGCACAGCCACTTCAACCCACCACTGCGATCTGCATGCGGAAAAGTATTTGGTGTCCATGCTCGATGGCGGGTCTCGCCAGTTCCATGAAGCTGGATGGAATGCCACGGTCCAAGATGCTGTCAAGCGTCAGGTGTAATCGGAAAGCCTTCTGCTCTGGCACTGTGGGGCGGTGAATGCATAAAGGGAGAGCAGCTCTTGCAAGCCAGGCTCGCCCTTCTTCTGCAAAGAAGGCAATCCAGCTCCTCGTTCACATCTCAAACAGCACAAACAAATGGGACTTTGTCAGGTTGCGTGCCGCTTGAATAACTGCCTCTTGGTGAGGGTAACCTAGCGTAGACAGCCACCATGCCGGACCGGCTGTGGCACGACAAGACATCGGATGAGCTGTTCATTACGGGCGTCGGACAGGATTCGGTGCCATCTCATCAGTCCACACATTCGACATCATCTGGATTCTGCGAAGCTTTGCTTTTTTGTTCCATCTCCGTGAGATGCTTCCCATGCTTGTCCACATTCCCGCTACCATCGGGAGCTGGAGCCTTTTCTCCGTTCTGACCAATCCATTCTTGAGAGAAAAGACAACTTAAGATAGCCAATTTCTCCAGACCTGCGATAAACCTTCTCAGATCGTCCAAACCCAGTGTGGCGGCAGTGGTTTCCTTGTACAACAGAGCGCACTACGGCTACTAAGCGGCTACTGGAATTCAGTTGCTGTAAGTCTTGCAATACCATCTTGAGCACAACTGCCAGCAACCTCCACATAGTTTTCATGTCTCCAACCTATCATGCCAAGTTTGCAGGGCAACTAGTAAGCGAGCACCATGCATTCCTTACAGATAGATGTCTCCGGTCTGGAGTATAAGTGCTTTGTGCCACTTTCTAAGTATGCCTCTTCCGTGTACCCGTGGAAACCTCCTCTGAGGCAAAGCAGCCATGCAAGTTCAGGAATTTGAGGGGAAGTATTCTCAAGCTGGGGTCGTCGTCTTAGCTGTTTATTCCGCAGGACCGAACTTCTCTAACCATCAACCCCATGGCCCGTTTCTGAGGCAGCAGGCCAAAAGTGGGAACTTTTTGTACACATCCGGCAAGCGCTGCTTGAACTTCCGGCCTGAACTCAACGGATACCAAAGACAAGACTAAGGATGACAAAAGCGGATAAAGGCCATCGGAAGCTTGCGTGTTCTGCTACATGATGTAAGGGTATGGCGGCACGAGGGCTGGTGGTAAGACAGCATAAGTGAGGAGGAATCTACATGCACAGACGAAGCATGCAAGCACCGTACCGATGTAAAGCAACAAACAAGCTTAAACAGATGGAGTGCGAGAAAGAGGGAGGGAGGGAGGGAGGGAGGGAGGGAGGGAGGGAGGGAGAGAGAGTGAGTGAGTGAGTGAGTGAGTGAGTGAGTCGTCAGCACACGCACAGATGCGTATACAGAGGTGTGCATGTATGTATGTATATATATATATATACTATATGTATGTATACATACACCTATAATACATATATGTATATATTAACATTGTTTGTATGTACATCAAAGTTTTGATCTTCGTCGCAACTGCGCGTCACCCAAGGTGCTTTGGCGGTAGTTAAACACTGTATTCCAAGCTTCCACATTCTCCCTCATATGGAATCCTCAACCCCCTTTCAGGCTTCGAAGGAAAAGCCCAGCGCAAGGGGTTCCGAGGTCGTTTGGATTCGAGGTTCCACTGCTTACTCTGGTGCTCACTGAGAGGCCCTGATGCGACGGCTGGACCCTTTTTTTTGCATCCGTACTGATGAAGTTTAGGACGAACGCATCAAATCCCATCAGTAGCCGTCTACAGCCTTGTAAGGAAAATGCTCGGCTATAAAAGTGTTGAATGCCAGATAAACACCAAGGCCCCGTACAGCTTCAAATGCAACTGACCTGCATCCTTAGAACCCTCTTTGCGGCACCCCCACCCTCAACCCTCCAGATCGCGCGCACCGAGTGCCCGGGCTAGACACCCGCTCGCTATCCCGCTCCTCTGCCAGCCAATCCTTGATACTTTGCGTGCTTGGGGGATGTCGGTCGTGCCACTGCCTTTCGCTGCTTCTTTGGCATCCCTTCAAAGAACCCCCTCAAGTCCGCTGGGCTTGGCTGCTCAGAGAACGTCCAGACATCTACACTGCGGTGTAGCTGCTTCTACAGGGCGCCCACTTCCTGAAGATGTTACTGTGGGGGAATTGGGGTTCCTCATCTTCTGAATGAAACTCCCAAGTGGAGCCCTGAACCCTCAACCCTTGCTTCAACCCCGCTTTCCACCTGGGCTATGCAATCAAGTCTAGTCTAGACCCTAAACCGCAAAGCCCTAAAGCCCTGAGCCCTAAACCACCACATGAGTAACCCGGCAAGAATGTGCAGATCACACTTATCTAGGCCCGGGCGAAGACGATCCGCAAGTCTTTCAAAAGCTCCTGGGCCGCCAGTGCTAGGGCTGTTCTTTTCCCACCCCGTGTTCACTCGGGTTTTAGTATGTAGGGATGTGTGGGGCGTACGGGCTTTAGAGTGTAGGGTGTTTTCGACTCGCACATTCGCAAATCAGGCACGGAAGGGGCTTTAGACAAGCACTTTAGAGGTTTCGAGGTTTGCGCGGGATAACCTTGCAAAACGATCAGAGACTCTAGTCTAGCACGGGCTGTCTGTAAACTTCAAGCACTAGACTCAATCTCACAACCTGTGGTTTCAGCCTGACTGGCTGAACTGACATCCCATGTCATCTCATATCCAAGCCGAGCACATTGGTCTCTCCGAACTGCTTGACTTCTGCCTGGCCGTCGAGTGCGTTCGTGGCTTTCTCGCTGGGCCATGGACAGCTTCCCAGTGGTACCCATCGCCAAAGCCCGAAACACCTAGAGCTTCCCCCCGAAAATCTGAGAGCGCTCAGCTTCTTCCACTCGCCCTCACTGCACCCGAACCGAACCTTTTCGGCCGCCGCCGCAGAGTCTCGCAGTGTGAGGATGTAGTCATATTTGCTCATCTCCGCCTGGCAACGGCACCGGCGATGCTTCTTCGACGTCCGGATCCCTGTTTTGTATCGGGGTTTGCGGTGTCTCTGCTTGGCAGGGAACTCCGATAGCAGCTTGGGTTTCGGATCTACGGCTCTGCAGGAAACATGGAACATCATGGAACGACAGCGTAACGACAGGCACAAAAACTCAGGAGCTGAGGAGCTGACGGACCTCAAAGGCCCACGAACAACTCACTGGCCGGAACAAGTAGATTTCAATAGGGGTTTCAAGGTGTTTCATATTATACCTACATGGGGACAAAAGGGATACCAGTACTGAGTATGAAGGCCCCAACGAACAGGTCTTTTCGTCAGGCAAGCACAACGGCTGGCCCTGTCGTGTCACGTGCTGATGGTCGTGGCACACATGATGATTCGTGCGGCATCACCGAAGTAACGGCAAAGCTCCAGAAGTTGAACAGTCGCCTGGTATGTCACATTGCCTGGCTCAGGTGCCCCTGAGAAGCCTTCGGCCACAAGGCGGACAGTCTGATCGAACCAGATGGAGGGCGGGACATCACTCATCAAGGCCTCACGCCCGATGGATTCGAAGAGCGCCGCAAGCCTCGCGGGACGCTCTCGCGAGCTGTCGCTGGAAACCGGTCGCAGCGCCGCCTCGGCTACTGCTCTCGTCTCGGCACGAGGCTGTAGCTGGCGCACACCCCGCGTCTGTGCGATCGCGCGCTGCAAAGCGGGAGCGGTTTCCGTGGACGCAGAAGCATGGAGCAGGAGCTCTTCAACAGCATCGACGAGCACTGTGTACTCGCCATCACCCATGCCCATAACTTTCAACCCCAGAATGGACTCCACAATCTCGGCCGCACGGGAGAGCACACCCGGACGGCGAGGCGTCTGCTGTGCCAGAGGCAAGTTTTTCAGCACCGTCTCGAAGCATTTCACGGCCTTCAGGATGAGGTTCTGCAGCATGGGCGGATCGATATCTGCCTGCTCCTTGTCATGGAGCTCCAGAAGTCGCCGGCAAAGGTTCTCGTATATCTGGGACAGAAGCATCAAGGCTTCGAAGGATGTGGTGCTGAGTTGAGGACCGTCGCCACTGCGACTCGCACCCACCTCAATTGGTATCAACAACTTCACGGCATCTTCCGCGAAGCCTTTGGCTCCCGAAAGATCCCCTTTCCAGTACAAGACCTGTGCCAGCTCGAAGGCCAACCGGCCAGTGGTCCTTTGGTCACTGGCAACCTGGGCAACGGAATATGCCTCCTGGAACGCTGCGGTGGCTTTGTCCCAATCCTCCCGGCGCGACCAAGCATCCCCGAGCCGTGCTCTCAGAGCAACAGAGGCAGGGTGCGCCCGGCCAAAGGCACGCTCGGCGAGACTACAGCACTTCTCCGTGTGCAGCGCAGCCGCGGACCAGTCTCCCTGTTGAGCATAGAGCCTCGCAGCCGTTCCTTCCAAGCGGAGCATTAGCACGGGCTGATCCGGTGAAAGCCTCTCCCATTCCATCTGGAGCCTCTGCAAGCGGGCATGCGCTTCGACATGTTTGTCCAACAGCCACTCGGCTTCGAAAGCAGCGAGCTGCGCCCACCACGCGGAGAGCAAACTGGGCAACATTTGCGTCGCGGAGTCTGCAGCCCACAAGGCTTGCTTCAAGCGTGTTTTGTCTACGGTCGGCCCGGTCTTCATCATCACCTTGGGTCGAGTAGAAACCATGCTATAGAACCCTTCACCTCGCAATTAACACATATAGCAAGTATGCGGAACAGGCTTGGCTCTTGGTGAACTCGGAGCAGTGGTGCTACTCAGTGCAGCAGCAGCAGCACCCCTACGATGACGACCGCGTACTAGTGCTCGTACTCGTACTAGTAGCAGCGGCAGCTGTTGTTAAGGTACAGGCATTAGTGCTAGTGGTTGGTACTGGTATCGGTCGTGGTAGTGGGAGTGAAAGTGGCCGTGGCGGTGGCGGTAGTAGGGGAAAGTAGTAGTGAGTGCAATAACAATACTATAGTTTCTGGCTATAGTACTTATGCATCATGCAAACTCTGCAAACCTTATGAGTTCATTTAAAAACTGCTCATGGTCTTACGAGTAAAACGACACAAGAGGCATATCAGACTGAACTACAAGCACCCCCCCCCCCCCAACCGCCATGAGGCAACCGCACCTCAGCTGCCATCTCATCAACGCTATCGGGATCATCCACGGGCTTAGAAGTTTTCTTCGCCATCTCAAGCAGCGCCACGGCGATGCCCTGCAGAATTGCGCCTGTGGCAGCAGGGGCCTCGCCCAGCGCTCGCGAGAAGGTGAGCTGCAGCTTTAGCACCTGAAAGACGCGATCCCATCGACCGTCGCGCGTATGTCGTGTGGGTGCCGACACAGCAGCAGACCACTCCTCCCCTCGAGCACAGATGATGCGGACGCCGGGCAGAAAGCCACAGAAAGAGGGCTCCTTTATCAGGTGATCGCGGAGGCGCCGAGTTTCTTCATCCACTGCATGGTATTGCTGCAGGCGCTGCTGCCAAAGATCCTTGACTGCAGCGAAGTGTGGAAAGTGAGGCTGCAAAGCTTCCGACTCGAAGGTGACGAGATCTCCCTCGTTGAACGGCTCCGGGTATCCAGGTGAATTCAAGTGAGCACGGTGTGCAGAGGACGCAAACTTCACCCGGCAATGATGCTCCATTGCTCGGAATAGCGCGTGGAGCTTTACTCTGTGTCTCGAAAGGGACGCACTTTCAAATCCGAAGCGGCGCGTAGTTTCTGGTACTAGCTCTCGGTCCCAAAACTCGGCGGTCTCCGTGCCCGAGCCCAACACCTGGTTGAAGATCTTAACCGCTTGCATCGTGGCCACACGCTCCGGGCCGATATGCACGTCCTCGGAGCGCTGTGGTGCTACCGGCGCCCAGGGCTTCTTTGCCCAAAGCCGCCTGCGAAGCAGCCACTTCGCACTCCTGGCCAAAGCCTCGCGATGCAAAGCCGCCGCCGAGGACGTACTGGCCAGCACAGCCACTCGAGACATGTGACGAATGTTCACACCTGATGCATGCAAGATATCGGTCCAGCCTTGGCTGTCCAAGGGCGGTCCCTCGGAGCTGATCCTCTCCAAGAGCTGTTGCGGAAGCTCCAACTCAGCGCGCGAAGTCAGCTCCTTCAAGGCTTGACTCCCGCCAGCTTGCCCAGAATTCGCGGCCGCCGTGACTGCATGCGTGGGCGGAATCGGTGGAACACCCAGAGACCAGAGCGCCTCGCGGCGAAGTCGCTTCACCGGATCCACGATGCGGGAGATGCTTGGGTCGGTGTCTGGTAGGATCTCCGGTGGCATCAGCTCTGCAGGGCTCCGGAAATGAAGCTCTTCCGCCTCCACCTCGGCCTCCGCCTCGGCCTCGTCCTTCCCTGAGACATGCGAGTGCGAGCGCAGTCTCAGCAAGGCTGTGCTTGCTAAGGACTTTGGCAGATCGCTCATCAAGCACACGGGATAGCCCTGCAGGCCGAGCATCCCCGCTATCTGGCCCAGATCACTCCGGAGTTGTGGATGCCGACGGTCCCATTCGTGCAGCACGAGACTGGCAAACTGGCTCTGGCTGCGGAGCTGCAGCTGCTGGCGCCAGATACTTTCCGCAGAATCGCCAGGATAAGCTGTCGGATTCCTGGTCTCCTCCTGCTGGGCAGCAGCGGCGTTGCTGGCCTCCCGCCACAGCTCTGGAAGGTCCCCAGGCGCACCGTAGGCCACCTCTGCCTCTGCAAGGGGCCCCAGGACAAGTTCAGCGGGCGGATCACCCAACGCCACAACCTTCGGCCTACAGACCACTCGGAAGCCCAAGTAGTCCACAAGCACGGCCACGGGCAATGAAAAGGGGGACTCGCAGCCACTGGCGGCCATGGCGTCCGCAAGCGCCTGGAGTCCTTTCAGGTCGTGCTGATACAAACGCCATGCGAACTCTTGAGATCGCTCATGGGTGGAGCCCCCGACAACGGTGAGGACCATAGAGTCATGCACAAAGACACGGTCGCCGTCGAAGCGCGGACGCAAGAGAGGCCACAGCACATCATCTTTTGAGATCAGCCGTGGCACAGTTTGTCCTTCCTCCTCTGGCAAGTGATGCCTCCGGTGTTTCCCCGTGTCCATACCGTACGGGTGCAACATCACCTCGTGGATAACCAGCACTGCTGCAGCGCGAGCCGCTGCCGCAAAGCGGCCGACCTCGCTCACATAGCCCAGTGCTGTGGTCGCCCGCCTCTTGGTCAAGTCATCATCGACTGCGGCCTCCTCTTCCGAGCTGCCAGCTCCTCTGCCTCTGCCCTCCCTCGCGAGCTGTAGGCACTGATGCCACGCTGTCGCAGGGTCTCGACCCGGCCGAGAACCAACCGGTATCTGCCGCGTGTCACCTGGATGAGGTGGCAGCTGCACCGGCGAGGGCCCACGACGGCCCAGCAGGAACCAGCGGTAGTTCTTCAGTCGCACGTAGCGCTGCAGAACCAGAGCAGCCCGGACCATGGCCTGGTCTACTTGAGGTTCCGGGGCGACTTTGGGCCCTTTGATGCTCCCCTGGAGATCTCGTTGGCGCTGGCTCTGTGAGAGTGGCGCGATAGAGGCATCAGCTTTCGGCTGGCGAGTGTCGAGGCTTTGCTCATCTTGGCCCTCTGCGTTCGAAAACTGCCGCGGGGTTGGCAGCAACTGCGTCGGTGGCGAAGAGGAGGCCTCCAAGGAGGTGCGCCCTGAACCCAACTCCTTGATTTGGTCCACTTGGGTCCTCTCTTCCCGCAGAGAAGACGAGGCCTCGTTCGCCAAGCCACGTCCAACCAGGCGTGCCACGAGTGCAGATTCCGCACTCTGCGCCGGTGGCTGCTCAGATTCCGCACTCTGCGCTGGTGGCTGCTCAGATTCCGCACTGGGCGCCGGTGGCTGTTCAGATTCCCATGCCTTGTGAGCAGGTGGCTGTTCGGCAGCTATCGAATCCAACTGTTGGGGCCGAGGCCTCGTTGCATGAGATGGCAAAGACAGCCTCTTGACAGGCTGACCCTGAATTGAAGGCGCATGCAAGGACGAGCGCTGCAACCTGCGTGCCACGGATTCATCATGCGTTCCCACATCCAGCACCTTTCCAGCTTCTCTAAAAGCATCCTGACCTTGATTTGCCACCTCTCGCTTATCGACCTGGGGGACGGAAGTCCTCTTGCCAGAGCTCGCTTCCAGGTGTATGTCTTCCTCCATCACTCATGCAACCGGACATCGCCATCCGCGAGTCAACTCACCCCACCATCGCAACTGAGGGCAGCTGTAGAGAGCTTTAGCTAACAGTTTGGGAGCCCTAGGCTTTAGGACTGCCACATATCAGGAGCCGTCAAGATTTTGAGGTTACCGGCGGGAAACCTGCAGCTAGGAAAGAATGCCTTAGCTGGTGCGGCCGTGAGTTTCAACGGGCCTGAATCAGCAGGCCAAAGGAAACCATAAGCTGCCGGCGTGACGTGGAAAAGCTGTGGGTGGGCAGCTCAGGAACTTCTCAGCAACTCGAGGAGCACAGGAATCGGTAGAGTACTGGACTCCAGTCTTGCCAGACCACTAATTCAACCCCTGCAGAGCCCACAACCCTTGGCCCAAAATTCTATCGAGGCAGAATTCTGTTCGATCATGCCTTCACTACACAAGCAGGTACGGCTTCAAGACACTTGCCTCAAGAACCGCCAAGACAACAACAAAGACGCTGCACTTCCCGAGCGCTCCGTCAACCCCAAGCCCTAAACCCTTAACCCTACGCCCCAAACCAGCCCTAAATCCGAAGCCCCAAAACCCTGTAAGACCTGAACCAAACTCTAAACCCTAGACCCTAAGCCCCAAACCGTAAGGCCTGAACCCAGCCTCTTCCAGTCTCACGGCTTCGCGGCTTTAAGTGACCCCAAGTGGAAGCCGGTAACAGCTCAACCCAAGTCTCGAAGCTGCAAAGCCCATCCATGCTCTACAGTCTTTCGGAGGAATATCAAAGAGATGTCGTAGTACATCCATCATAGTGGGGTAGAGTATATCATAGCATCGTAAATCATAGTGGATTTCTTTTGGGGGTATATTGAGTCCGAATAGAACTGGCTCCGGCCTGGCAGCTCGCGTCGCCCTCGCGCCTTCCCTCATCACGGAAACACTGGTGGGCTTTTACCCACAGTGCCCTGAATTCAAAGCCGAAATGAGCGGCAAGGCTTGTGGCACTACTATTGCTGTCCGTACTTATTATCATCTTAGTACCGCTTAAACCTACCAGAAACAGTGTGGTTATAACAATTAAAAGTGTTATGCTCCAGTCGACGTGGCGATGGAAAGCGTCGCCGTGGGAAGTAGGAGTCAGCACCGACAAAGCAGGGAGATGGTGGCGCTACGGGTGCAGCTTTGATCTTTTGGGGCTGTCAGGCTCTCGAGGTAGTGACTTGTAGTGGTTAGGAGGGCACGCCGATTTTTCTCACGCAGATGGCCTCAGTGCGCCCCAGCTGCCTGGTACTCAAGAAGTCCAGCAGCGGATCACCTCAAACAACTGACCGAAGCACCTGTGTGATCGGATAATGTTTGGCATCTCCAACTTCAACTTCTTGTTACAGCTTCGTATTTGCATTTATCTGTAGAGATAGGGGGTTGGGGTTAGTTTTGTCCGCCCATCCCGCAGGGGATGGCTTGGACGTATTGGGTGGGTGATACTTCCCGATAGCTTGAGGAGTTTAGGGTCAGGAAACCTCGATTCACACGGAACCGTGCGGCCGTGCCACGTCCTGCGCCTGCGACACTCACTCCTAACGAACTGCAGTGCTCCGTTGCAGACCTGCGCGTACGAACGAAGCACGTGCACGGCATGAAAACGTTGGTTTGAGCGGATACCTTCTCCGCTGTCTCTACGCATGTTCTGGCGGCGCAGTTGCTGGACACTCCTTTACTGCCAGCAATCGCGCTAGCCTGCAACTGCAGCTGCTTCGCAGCTCGCAGTGGACTACGGCAGTCATCCTAAAGGACTGATCCCTACGCAGACTCATGGCATAGGGAGGTCGTCCTGCCATGGAGTCGTGTGACAAGTGATACATTCACCTGGTTGTTGTGACTGCTACTATATCATTACCACATGTGGTGCTTGTGCTTCGTGATGACTCGGCCTAGACTGCCTCACTTGAAGTTCTGGCATCGCTACAGTTGCCAGCTCATAGCTACAATTTATGCTCCACTTGCCGTAGCACTACAGGACTGTGGCATTGCTCCAGTACACGAGGCCAACTTAAGTCAGATCAGTGCATGCGAAATCATGTCACTCTTGTAAACGCTAGAAGTCAGGTCATGGCGTGAGAAGTCGCATCAGAGTTTCTCACATCCGAGTCAAGACCCCATCCAAACGCCGTGTCTCGAGCCTTGCTGAGAACACGAATGCAAAACATGCATTGTCAGTCCGACGCTCGGGCATTTCAAAAATTTCTTTTTGGTTCAGTACCGTACCGTACAAACGCTAGGACAGATCTAAGCTTGAACCAAATCACGAACAGCGCGTTTAAACTCACGCAGCGAAAACAACTACAAGTAAGACTAGCTAAGAACCAACCCAAACCCATTTGTCAAGCGCTACGAAGGTAATCTTAGGAAAGTGGTGCTAGTCCGCCCGTGCTTGACTGCTGCTAGACTCCATCTAAACGCAGGGATGAGCCTCGAGAAGTAATCACGAACGGGGGTCTAGAACCCATCCAAAACAACCACCAATAAAAAACGTCTACTTGCGAACGTTGCCTCATGAACTCAATACGCTTGTGATACGCTGGCCCCATGCAAATGCAGGGGTGATATGACTTCAGCTGTAAAGATACGACTTCAACTGCCCCGTTGTACCATATTGCCAATGTAACTGTGAACATAGAACATGATGCCTTCTCTTCGCGATTGCCGCGTAGCTGGCGCGTGCAGCTGCTGCTAGAACGCTCTATTTACGAGATGCCGTGGCGATGATCGTAATACTGCCAGGGGGTGCTGATTTTCACTGAAAGGAACGACAGAACGCCTTCTGGAGGCTCTCCGATAGCAGACCTTTATCACGGAAGTGTCCTGGACCTTTCTGAAGGTCAAAGTCCCGATTGAGGACCAGATTCCTGAATCACCGCCTTGGGAGACACGGGTGAATGATGCTGATGATGGTGACGGTGATGATGATGATGATGATGCTGATGATGATGCTGATGCCGTTGATGCTGTCGATGTGCATGCTGATGACGACGATGCTGATATATGCTGATGCTGCTCAGCACATTCCTGTGCATCATCATGCAAAGCAAACGGCTCATAGCTTGGAAGCACCGATGAAAGAAATGGGGGACTTACATGATGCAAGAGGAGGCCCCCTTTGCCGATTGCAGATTGCCCTAAGAAACCATCTAAGCCGGCTCCGTCACTGGGTCGCTGGCACTGGACGACATGAGCGCCATCATGGCTGTGACCATACCCGCGAACATCATTCCTGGGATTTCGTCGGGAGTGTACGGTCTGAGATTGCGTTGACGTTCTAGAGTTTCGCGCTCTCACACTCGGACACTCCAGGCGAGGCGTTCTAGGGGAGATCAAAAACATACAGGTTCAACATGCCTTGTCATCCTGAAACAACCATCAGTAAGCGGCCGGCCGATGTTCGCTAAGAAGCAGGGCATGTTTGCACGGACAATACCTCGAGAGAGAGGGAGACAGAGCTGTCAGCAAGCCAACGAAAGGCCAGATGTCGCATGCGTGCACCTTTGAGCATATCATCAAACACTCTTTGGGAGGCGCATCAAGCCCTGAGGTCTGGCAGCCGTCAAGTCTAGCACTTCCAAAGCACAATCTCGGGGTCCCTGCATCGCCCAAACACGCCGCAGTGATGGTCAAATCCGGTAACCTCAGATGCAAAGCCCCAATTGTGCTGATACAAAAGCACAAACAACCATCAGACCTATGCAAGACCCTCCGATCCGGTAAGGTGGATGCACAGCGCTGGCAGACGTTGCAGTGGTGGACTTTTCCAGCCTGGAGGGGGTTGTGAGGACTAAGACGAAGGTCATCGGAAGCCGTCGTTATCCAGCTGCGAGCTGCCATGATGTTGCAGAAGTATCAACATGCCTTGTGTTCACTATATACTATTTCCCTGTCATCATGGAGTGATGGAGAAAAAGTTGGCAGCTAGGTTTTCATTGCTGTAGGCACTGCGGGGTGCTCCTACTTCCGTACTGCAACCCGCAACACCCCGCAGGCCCGCAGGCCAGAGTCTCCAAGGTCCTCTTCGGCTGAGGGCCTCACGTTTTTCGGACGCCAGAGACAACATCTGACCTCGCAGCACCATGCAACTGCTTCACTTCACCAAATTCAGGCGGGTCTTCAAGGTACTGATGTTTTTCTATTTCCGAGCCGAGCCCCGCACGCAATAAGAATCCTGGTGAGGGATGTCCTGCAGGACCGTCGTGCAATCATGGCACAGCATGTTACTGAAACTTTTTGAAGCTGGATCTCTCTGGAACTTGGAAGCATCACCGACGTGACATCCCAACGTGGATTGCAAAAGCCGCGTGTCCTGTCGAGACGGGATGTTTTTCAGCCCATCCAACGGATGAGACCTGGCCGGCACTTGCTGGAAGATCTACGAAAGCTGACTTAGGGCCTTAGAGCTTTGGGATCCAAGACTAGACCCCCACACTCCATCCAACCGGCCACCCTCACAAGACCAACACGCACGACGAAGACGACAACGGCAGCAAATGTAGATCATCACAAAGGAAAAGCCATAAAGTGTACGATAGCAAGACCATGACGATCGTACATTCTCAAGCTCTCTTCTTCTCCAGAGCATTGGGGGTGTGCAATCTGGCCACAAGGGCTTCCCAGGCCACAAGGGCTCCCCAGTGTTTGGGGATTCTTTGAGGGGGTGTGAACAGTACACATCGGTTCCCCCTCCACAAGCTCTCTTCTTTTTATTCGGGCATAAGGGACTGGTTAGGTCCCTCGGCCACATGGGCCCCCCATTGTTATGGGGCTTTGAAGGGACTGTGATAAGGTCTACTCGGACGGGCCAGGGCATCACGTCACAAGTAGGGCAATAAGCTCTCTGTCTCTTTTCTTTCGCCAGGGCTAGGGGTAAGGAGGGCAGGCCCCCCTCTCTGTCTCTCTCTCTCTCTCTCTCTCTCCAGGGCATGGGGGACGGTCAAATCCCCCGACCATCATGCCCACCCAACATGATTTGT